AGATCAACTTGAATTTCTTCCTTAATAGTTTGTCATACATGGCCAAGTAAATAACTTTTAGAATTACTGCCCCATGTTTATTTGCTTGCTAAGTTTTCTGGAGAGGAATTTGTGCTTTTTCAGATTGTTTTACTGAGTATCTACACGCCATTGGTTTCCCCAGCACACTCTGCCAGCAGTGGAGATGCGCACCCTGCTGTGAGAGCTCAGAAATGAGCCTTTGGGTGGTGGTGAACTGCCTTCCATCTGCCTCTGATGCCTTTCTGTTCTTCACTAGTGACTGATTAAATGTGCGATAATAAAAGAAATGTTCTCCGGAAGAAAGTCAAGCCAAATGTGTCATTTTGAAGTCAACTGTGATAAACTCTTACATGTACTTGCTCCGAGGAGTTTATAAAGCCTGTGTTCATATTGACCAGCTTGCCACCTGCTGATGAAGACATCGAGGTGTCAGGATCCTTGGCTTGGGTTTCTCTCCCTGCCACTTCGCAGGGGGCACTAGTGGAGGAGCAAACTAGGGAGCAGATCTTGGAGGTCCTTGGTTAGTGGCCAGGATTGAAACCAATGGATGATTGAGGTATGCTATTCAGTCTTAAGGCATGCAGGTACCTAGAAATATATATGCAGATCTTCAAAAAGTTAATGGAAAATAAGCATGATTAAAAAAAAAAAACTATTGTGAATTTCACAATCTTTTTTTGTGCAAAAGCAAACCTATTCTCGTATTGCATTTCCAAAAACGTTTTGAAGTACCCGCTAATGTGAAGCCCCCTGAAGATTTGCTGACGTTTTCAGGCCACAGCTAGAATGATCTGTGTGACACATCTGTGAAGAGACTCAAATCTTATGGGGGGAGGAGGAGCCTGCAGACTGCTCAAAATACTTAAAATTCTGGGGCCCGGCGCGGTGGCGCAGTGGTTAAGGTCCTTGCCTTGCACGCCCGGGAACCCATATGGGCACCGGTTCTAATCCCAGAGGCTCCACTTCCCATCCAGCTCCCCACCTGTGGCCAGGGGAAAGCAGTCGAGGACAGCCCAAAGCTTTGGGACCCTGCACCCGCGTGGGAGACCAGGAAGAGTCTCCTGGCTTTGGATCGGCATAGCATCGGCCGTTGCGCTCACTTGGGGAGTGAATCATTGGACGGAAGATCTTCCTCTCTGTCTCTCCTCTCTGTATATCCGCCTTTCCAATAAAAAAATAATAAAAATAAATCTTTAAAAAATACTTAAAATTCTGTAATAATTCCAAGGAAGGCCAATCATTAAAATATAGTTATGGAAATGTTTCTACTAGTTATATTGTGACCTTTGTGTTTCTTTGCCACTGTTTGAAATAAGATGGATCAGCAGATGCTAAAACTGTCACAATTCTAGAGTAGCAATGGGTATAAAAGTTACTTTGGGAAATTCTCTGGGACTTGTGATGCAAAAAATGCCAAGCCTCTGCTCGTGATGAAGTCTCAGAACTATCTTTTTTTTAAGATTTATCTATTATTATTGGAAAGACAGACATACAGAGAGAAGGAGAGACAGAGAGGAAGATCTTCCATCTGTTCATTCACTCCCCAAGTGACTGCGATGGTCGGAGCTGTGCAGATCTGAATCCAGGATCCAGGAACTTCCTCCAGGTCTCCCACGTGGGTGCAGGGCCCCAAAGCTTTGGGCCATCTTCGACTGCTTTCCCAGGCCACGGGCAGGGAGCTGGATGGGAAATGGAGCTGGCGGGATTAGAACCGACACCCATATGGGATCCTGGTATATTCAAGGTGAGGACTTTAGCTGCTACACTATCACGCTGGGCCCAAAGTCTCAGGTCTTTCTAATGTAGGGTATGTTAGCTATATTCTGAATTGAAGGAAGTGTTGAGCTTCCATTGAAGATAAATGATGGCAAAAGGCATTTTTTTCTCATTCAGGTTCATAGACCCAACCAAATTGGAAGTTAAGCCACAAGAGAATGGTTAAGCATACTGTGTATTTACTAAGTGGTAGATTGGAAGCGATTTAAAATTACGGCATGTAGGACTGTGTGATTAGGGTTCACAGTGAAGGCTTGTGAGGAAGCACCTGTTTTTTGCCTGGTGTTGCTAGAGAACAATCTGTTCCTGGTGGTGCTCTGTGTAGACGATGGTGGTTCTGGCAAACTCAGATGGCTAGTTTAGGAACTAGAATTAGTAGTGGAACAATGTATCCACTTCATTTCTCCACTATGCCACAGACCAGGGGCTTCTATCAGCTTTTTCGAAATATTTGGAGAGTGTCTAAGAGTTTTCATATTGTTGTGATCATTAGCACACTGATGCAAATGCCTCTTTAATGTAGAAAACTAAACTGCCTTAATGAGCTGGATTTTTTAGATGTTTCCATCTATAAATATAGTAACTTAAAATAGCTGATCCTGGTTCACTGTTGAACATGTGTTATGCTAATAGCTGGTTGTTTTTTTTTTTTTGAGTTAATTTGTGGTCTTGCCACCAACAAAGTTTTGAGTGTGTGCCATCATTTGAAGCTGTCAGGACCCATTGTGCCTGATGGTAAGGACAAAAGTTTTGCACTCAAGAGCCTCTGGCTCCTCTTGGAAGTTTGTGAACTGCTTTTAAAATGTAGCCCTTAGCCCACATTTCTTTGTTAGAGTGCTTGGACTTGTATGCGCTTTCTGAAAGGTTTGCTCAAAGAAATTATTTTTACCTTCTCAAGTCTCCCTCTAGCCTGTTAAACTCAATCTGCTGGTGTGGAATTCATGCATTTTCCTCATTTCTTTCTAACAGTGACTAAGGCATTTTTTCCTCTAACGACCAGCTCCTCTGACTGTGGGGAAGCCTTTTCTACTAATTTGTCTTATTTTTTATCACTTCTCGAGATTACATACTCTCTTGTAATCTGTCTTTAAGCTTACTATTCTGTCTTCTCTAGCAACTTCCAGGGATTTTTTTCATTTTGGCTATTGTGCTTTCCAGCCCCCGCCCTCCCATTTGGTTGCTTTTTTGTGAATCTTTCTTCATCAGTATTCTCTAGTGTATTCTTTAAGTATGGTTTCCTTTCATCCTCTTAATATTTGTTTTTAATAAGTGTAAGTGGTTTTAAGTCTTCGCTATCTTCAAGACCTGGGTCCCTTCAAAGGCTTTACGTTCCCCTTTGTGAAAGCTGCGGAGGGTGGTCCTAGTGCTTGGACCCCTGCTCCATCTGGGAGATCTGGAAGGAGCCCCCACCTCCTGCCTGGCCTGGTCTCAGCTGCTGAGGCCATTTCTGGAGTGATTCAGCAGTTAGAGGATCTCTGTATCTGATTTTCAGGTAAATCATTAAACACACACACACACACACACACACACACACAATGAAATTCACTTTCCTGTCCACGAATGAAGTGTTGTTGGCCCACAGTCATGCTCACGTTTCTGGACTCTGGCTGCTTTCCTTCTGTAGCAGCAGTAGGAAACAGCTGTAGCAGAGACTTTTCCAGAACGAATTTGCTGACCCAAAATATGTTTTAAGAGAGCAGCCTTAACAACATACAGTGGTCTCCAAACCTTGTCCCAGCAGGGCTGTGGCTGCCCAACAAGATGCAGAAAATGGCTTCAGGATAGGCCCAGCGTGGTAGCCTAGAGGCTAAAGTTCTCCTCTGGATGTGCTGTTGAGTTGGCCACAGGTTCTATTCCCGGCTGCCTCACCTCCCAAAAAAATCCAGCTCCCTGCTCGTGAGAGTCGAGGATGGCCTGAAGCCTTGGGCCCCTGCCCCCGTGTGGGAGACCCAGCAGAAGCTTGTGGCTTTGGATCAGCTCAGCTCCGGCTGTTGTGGCCAGTTGCGGAGTAGGCTAACAGAGGGAGGCTTTTTCTGTCTCTTCTCTCTGTAAACCTAATGTTCCAGTAAAAATGAATAAATCTTGTAAAAATTGTTTCAGGGCAATTGTTTATAGTTTAAGGTAGAAATAAGAATGTTGCTTGTCTTTGTAAAGGAAACAAAATTCAGTCAAGGAAAATTTCTTGAAAAATGAATGGGTTTCCATGTGTGTACTGAAGCTAGCTACGGCATGTGTGTAGCTGTGGCCATCCAAGCCACATTTTGTTGATCTGAGATTGTAGTGTTCAGTCAGTGTAGCTCTCTAGTTAATGGATTTCTATTTGGTTTAGAAGAAGCCTTGTCCCTTGGTTGAGGTCCCTTTCCCAGAGAAAATGTGGATTTTAAGCGGTGCTTTAACGCTATATCTGTTCTATCAAAATAGCTGGCAAGTACATTAGTTCATTTAAAAGGGGGAGAAATCAGAAGATTTATTTCTGGAATCATATGAATTCTTCAAAATTTAGTAGATGAAAATTAAAAATATGACATTACAAGGTGCTGGTTTTTGTGCAGTGCAGACAAAAGATTGACCATGATACATGAATGCCCATTTAATATATTTTAATTCCCCAATTGTGTCAAAAATTAAGCTTTGATACAGTGTTCTCAAAAGATAATGTTTGTTTTAAAAGAGTTATAATTCAAACTGAGTATTCCATAGAGAAAAATACTGTCTCAGGTGAGTATTATTTGATGATACAATAAATTTTGTTATTTCTTAAAATTTCTGAGAGTAACTGCTTTCTAATATGTCTTTTGCAATGTAATTTTATTTGCGTTAGCCTGTAATTAAATTATCAAATAGTATGCCCTCTTGACTTACGCTGAAAGACAGGGGAAGGGCAAATCAAATTGCACTCCTTGGTTGTGAGTTCAGGTTCTATCTAGCTGAAGGGTATGCAGTACAAAGACATGATTTCTGAGGCTTAAAACTCTGAATTTTCTAATTTCTAATGAATTCTGATTTCTGAAATTCAGAGATGTAAACAGTTCAGCATTTGAAGCCAATTCATATATCTATGTGGTACAGTTTTAAAATTGAGGCTGAACAGATCAGTGGTCATGTTTCTCAGGTTATTTGTATTCAGGCATTTCTCTCCTTCTCAAAGGCCCAGGTGTGTTTCTGCATCAGTTCCCTTATAGAACCTTTTTTTTTTCTTTTAGGATTGTAGTGGGAATTATTATTTCATCCCATACATCGTGACACCATCTGGTGATTACTTCTGCTGCGAGAATGAAGTCCACGGGCAAGCTTCTGAGTACATACAGTCCAACTCGAGCACCATCCTGAGCCCACTGAGATTGCCCCTGGTGAACAAGTTGGTTGACCTCCTCAGGGACATGCATGTCACCTCATGGTAATTCCCATCAGCCACCAACAAGTCTAGCAGCCTTGCCAAAATTCCCCTTCGTCCTTTTTGAAATGGCTAATGTGCTAGGAGGATTGGGAGAATGCCAGCCAATCACCTAAAGAAGCATCTTGGAATTTGTTATTGCCCCTTGCCACCCTCTGCTCCAGACTGGGCCTCTACAGTGAGGCCAAGAGAGTAGAAGTGCAGTTAGAATTCGAAGGTCGGGCTCTCTGTCCTTGACTCTTCTCTTCCCTCATACTGTGAACTATGATATGTGACTTCCCTAGGGATGCTTTCTCATCTAGTGACTGAGCAAGTCCAGGGAGGGATTGATTTTTCATGCTTTTACCTCCAAGGCTGCATATTGCAAGATCATTTTTGAACACGATTTAAACTTTCCCCAGCTGCACAGGTTCTTAATGCCACAATAAGGTCACTGTGGCCTGAAGTCCTTCCGCCAGAAGAGCCTGCACATACGGAGTCAAGCCTCCACCATACTGACCTTGGGACAGCCTGTGACGTGCTCTTTAGAGATACGTCAGAGGTAGGGGGAGGGACGCTTCCCCCCCCCTCCCCCCCGCCAGAGGCTTGCTCTGGGATCCTGGCCTAGGTGGTTCCTAACTATGAGACCTTACTCAGGTCAGGCCACCCGTGAGCCCTCGTGCTCAGGGGACCATACCTTCAGATGTGCTTGTTCAGAAAGCCAAAGGTCAAGCCCTGTTCTTAGCCAGAGGATCCTGTTTCTTTTCAGTCACCCTCAAGGATCTATTCTTGTAAGTTGTGTCACAAGGAAAATGATTTGTCAGTCTAGAACAAATGAAAATTCAAAGCCCTGGCAACACTGTCTTGTAATGTGACATGAGGGGCCTCACGTCAGTCCTGGGCTCAGATCGTGGTGTGAGGTGTACACTTGATGGTGGTCACCGACTTTACCCATCACCTCCGCTCTAGATGCAGACTTTCTTCTCGTGGCTTCCATGGGGAAAGTCAGCTAGTGCATGACCACATGGCAACAAAGAGAGCCAAATGGGATGGACATTGGTGACGTATTCCCAGTGGCCCATCTTATCAAGCACTGTCTTAACGCAAGGTAACTGTTGTAGTGAAATTGAGGACAGAAAGCTCTCCAGCTGTCTTATTTTCATGTGTGACAGGATGCTCAGGTATCTCAAGTCTGCTTGATGAGTCAGGTTTATGCAAGGAGTCTTTGTTTCTCATTCAGTGCATGCATGTATCTATCAGCTGGGAAAGAAAGTCCAACTCTTTTGATCTGGTTTACTTTCAGAGAGCTTGAAATGTCTGTTCGTTGCTTCTATGCATATGAACTTGGCAGGTCCTTGGCAAAGGCTAGTGAGATGGCAAATGGTACTTAGGGCTTAAAAAATGTGAAAGGAATTGTTGGTAAGTTGTGGTTTTTCTTTTTTAGCTCAAGTGATAACACTCATGGATTCCTAACATCTATTGCTAAAGTACTGAAGACAGTTCCAAGTCCACACTGATTAGGAATATCTACACTGGTTACCAGAGGCTACATGTTTCATTCATATCTGACATCTCCAAGTCATACTTGAGTCATTGTTTTATTTGTGGTGAAACCACTGTCCTTATTAGGTGCCCTGATTTACTCAAACTATTTTTTCAGAATTAGTCTTGAAAACAAGACTGAAGTAAAACTTTTCAACTTGTCATGATAAAGTAATAACACTAAAATAGCTTTTGATGCCTTTATAATCTACTGAAACGGTGATGACTGTCACCTAATTTAATGACTCATTATTTGGTTAATGACGGACTTTTAAACACAGTCAGCTGCCTCGTGCATCATTGAGTGTAATAGCAGTTGACTACTAAGGAAACCAGAAAATGAAAGCAATGCATTGAGATTTCTGTATCTGAACCTTGACTTTGGGACATTTCATTCTTTAAATGTTAATTGAGGCCATGTTAAGAATGTTGAACCAGCCTATCTATTGCATGCACATTAATTTGGCCTAGTGTTACCATTATTAAAACTAAGTGCCATTTTTTAATTCAGCCCATGTGTTTTTTTTTTTTTTATTTTCTGGAGATTATTACGAAATTTTGCTTATTCTGGATTAATAAACAGCCTGATTTCACTCTACACTTGCAGACTTCAGCTTCTTAATGAGTAGACAGCATTACTGGTTGGCACGGCACCATCTCCATTACAAAAGCATTTGGAAAATCGACAAGATATTTAGATCGGTTGATAGTCATTGCAAGCTGACCTTTGTACTCCAAATTAGATGGTTCTTCAAGATTTTACACCAGTTGGCAGATGGCAACCGTGAGACTTTGGAAGGTTGTGATGGCATTCCCTCGTGGGCCTCAGCTGCCCTGAGTGCTTTAGACTAGTCGTTATGGCCACATGAAGGATGTTTTGTTTTCCCTTAGAGAGGCATTCATTCTCATCGGCAAGGACATGGAGAGCGAAGGGTGCAAGCTGAGGTTGTCCGTAAGCTTCCCAGGCTGGCTCCTCTGTGTCCTCCAAGACACGGCTTGGTTCCAACTCTCAGCTGAGGAAAGCTTTGTGACTGCTGAGGACACCTGATGGAGAAATTCATTCTAAAGATGTTTTCATCTATGTTTCAAGGCTTCTGAAGTTCTGTTTGTTTTGGGGATGATCTGTCATTATCAGAGCAAGTGAATATTCAAGGACTATACCTGTACTACCCTATCTCTGAAAGTACTGGAGGAAGTGGGACTGGCTTGAACGGCAAGCCCTGCAGGTTACCTGAATATAAGTGAAGTCAAGTTGGAAGGTCTTTTTTAAATTGTAAGGAACTGCTTTTTAGTTGTTTCCCAGTTGGTTTCTGCAAACTATGGATCTGAATCATATTTGGAAGTGTTTACTGTTTGTTGGTTCAAGGAGGTTTAGGTCCAGGCTGAGGTCCCCATGTACTGGCCTAAGTCATGTCAGTGAGGGCTACCTTGGGGTATGTAAAGAAAGGTCCCATATGCATGGAGGTGTGACTGGAGGTCTTCCTGTTTCCTTCTCTAGTGCTTACTATAGAAACGCCTTGTTAAATGGCATCCTGAAAGCCAGACAGAAGTACCAGGGGATTGAGCTGGCGAATGAACTGGCTCGGATCAGGCTCCGCATGTATCACACTGAGTTTCTGACCTCTGACATCGTCATCAATCTACTCCTCTCCTACAGTGACATCCAGGTATGAAATAGACCTCACTAATGCTGCCATAGGCCGGCTTGTTCCTTGACACAAAACACTGTTCCAATGCAGAACTCGCACGAGGTGCATAGTGGAGTAGCTGTGTTACAGATTGGTGTGTGGCAAACTCATAGGTCATCCAGCTTACCTATTGCTGAGAAATCTTGGAGACAGTTTTGTCCTATCAAGGCTTGTGTGCTCACTCTAAGAGATCTGGTTTATAGGACTGCTTAGAATAAGGATCTGAGAATGTACTGTAAATGCATGCTATGCTAGGCTTATTGCAAGCCTTTTTGCCAGCCCTGAGTGTCTCTCTGCTCTAAGCAACTCCAGGAGGTATGTATGCTTTGGTTATCCCCTTCTGTTACAAAGGAGGCAACTGAGGCCCGCAACAGTTAAGTCATTTGCCAAAGTTCACTCTTCAGTGACTAAGAGAGCCAGAAGTTTCCAATGTGTACCCAAGACCCAAGGAGTGCAGCTGATTGTAACACAGCTATCAGGAGATGCTGCAGAGTTGGAGTAGAATGTGGTATCATTAAGGCCATGAAACATTTCATCCCTCCAAGTTAATGCTGTTGAATCACTGTTAAGAGTGCCTAGCCTCCCTTCCATTTGGAGGAACACTAGATAATGTACCTCCTTACTTGTAGAATTCTACAAAATCAGGCTGAAGGCTACTGGCTTTAAATCTGAGTAATGGATGTATCCATGTGTGCCTGCACCAAGAACAGAGTCAACCACTTAGGGCTTCATGCCCCAAGTGACAGATGTATTCATTGACTAGAGTAGCAGGTGCTCTTAAAGATGCTAATGGTTAAATCATATCCCTGGGAAAAGAGGGTAGAAGTGGCATTTTTTTTTTAAGATTTATTTTTATTGCAAAGTCAGATAGACAGAAGGAGAGACAGATAGGAAGATCTTCTCTCTGCTGATTCACTCCCCAAGTGGCTGGAACTGAGCCAATCTGAAGCCAAGAGCCTGGAGCCTCCCCCAGGTCTCCCACACAGGTGCAGGGTCCCAAGGCTTTGGACCGTCCTCGACTGCTTTCCCAGGCCACACGCAGGGAGCTGGATGGGAAGCAGGGTTGCTGAGATTAGAACCGGTGCCCATATGAGTTGCTGGTGCGTGTGAGGCAAGGACTTTAGCAGCTAGGCTATCACGCTGGGCCCAGGAGTGGTCTTTCTTAATGTCTGTCTTCCCTTGAGCTGCTGGTTTCCCTCTGTCTTTGCCTTCATGCATTCCTTCTTTTCATAGCCCTGTTGTGGGTGGGACTTCTGGGTTCAAAGGTGAACCAGGAGATTGCCGGGATATGCTGCCTTCCATTTCCTGGGACAGCAGCAAGGGACAGACCACAGGACAGGCACAGGCTTTCAGCAGGAAGCCCTGCTCTGTTGACTGGCTCCCTAGTGATTTATTTTATCGATTCTGGTGAAAGTTGACTGGTCCCAATTATGAACGTGGCTGAAAGGGTCATAAGCAGTGCTGTTAAGAGGGGCCCCAGCTAAGACAGGCCTTCTCCATGGGCTGTTGACCTTGGGTTTTCTTATACATCTGCTTCCAGCTGAATTTCACACACAGCTCTGCCTGTGATGGATGATTGGGCCTGGATGGTGGGCTCCTGTCCTGTCTTGCCTTTGGAGTGAACCCTTCTGCCATCATCTCTCTGTGCCTTTTGATTCCTCCTCTGTCCTCTCACTCATCCATCCTGTTTTCTGATCTTGATTCTTCTGAAGGATGAGAGTCCCTTCCCCACACGACCACTGTGAAGAAGCCCCTCTGTCTTGATGTGATAAGGCTCCCTCATGCTCGTAATTATTCTGAACTCTTGGCAGAGAGTTAAGTTTCTCCTTTTCTCACTTTGGAACCTCTTTCCAACAGCACTACGATGCAATGGTGAAGCTGGTAGAGACGCTGGAGCTACTGCCCACGTGTGATTTGACCGATCAACATCTTATTCACTTCCACTATGCATTTGCTCTAAATAGGTAAGGATGACTGTTTCTGTACAGGGTTTTGACACAAGTTGCCTGTTGGAATTCTGCCGCCTTTTGTTCAGCAATCAAATGTACCCCAGTCCATTTGCTCAGGATGAGGAGCAAAGCATGATCTTTATCTTCACTTGACTGGAGGACTAGCTATGATCAGGTACTTACAGAAATCCAAATAGGATGGTAAGTCACTTACTTGAAGATTGGTCCAAGGTGGTCTGCAAATGAAGAGCAAAGGGAGGAAATCATTTCTCTCAAAGGGTCTTTGAAGTAGCTTTCCTTGGGTCTTGTCAGTTGGGTTGTAAAGAATTAGTAAAAGTTTCATGGACAAAACAGAGTGGGGAATGGTGGTGAAAAAAACATTTCATTTGGCCAGACTAGAGCGTGAGTATATTCATGTGTAAGGTGTATTTGGGGAATGTCTAGTTCAATTGAAACATGAAACATGGTGAAGCAGGTGCAGGTGTTGAAGCTGAGTGCAGGGGGTGGGATTGTGCCTTAAAAGGACATGGTATACTGCATAAGGAGTTGGTAACATCTTGTAGATGGTGATGGGCTAGTGTTAACCAACAGGATTAGTACTGTGTGATAGGAAATGAGGATGTTTTCTTTATGTAATTAGAATAGTCTGATATTGAGGATTGAAATTTCAGGGCAGTAAGGAACGCATCAAACTTGGAAATCCCTTCTGGAGATCACAGGTGTCAAAGCTTAAGGGCTAGTGACACTAGCTAAGATGCTAGAACAAAGAGATCTTGGATGCAATGCTTTTGAGTAAGATTGGAATTTGAGTTTCGAGATGCATGCCCCCCCACCAGATGGTGCAGTGTAGCTCTGGGAATTATATAGGGACTGTGCAGGCAGCTCTTGCACTGTAGAAACGTGTCCTTATCTCACAGCTGAAGTTAGGTGGCGAGGAAACCCAAGAACATAGATACAGTTTATACATGCTTCACATCCCATTGGTGAGAGCTCAGTCACATGGAAGGGGAAGCTGGGACCTACAGGCCGTGGTTGGATGGACATGTCTCCATTCCAAACTTGGCTGTTATGGAGGAGTTTGCCGCAGTCAACCTTAACAAATCTCAGTTGTGTCAATGTGTGGGTGCTCTAGTAGGAGGATAGAAGCAGTGTTGGGTGGATACCATGAGAAACAGGTCCGGATATACTCCCTGGGGAGTGTGGCATCTGCCTGATCTGGGTGTTCATAGTGTTGAATCATACAGCAGGCCACTGTGAGTGTATCCTTCAGTGTCCCGAGAGCCAGAGTTCTGACACCTCCAAGTCACCTTCCATGCCCAGTGTCATCTTCAGGGAATGAAAAAGGGAAGGTTGAGGCTGAGCTGAGAGAAGTCAGGAGTCGAGTTTCTCAGTTTGAGGCTCCACTTTGCTTCACGAGCTGAATTAGGTGACAGAGTATGGCCCTGCCACTGGTCACATCCACAAACAGGAGCCCATGGCCTTGGAGGCTCATATTATGCGACTGTCTTCTATGGAGCTAAAATTTGAAGTGAATGAAATGAACCATTTGTGTCTGATTGGATGGGTTTGATTAATGGATGTACATGTGCCAACAATGCCCCCATCCAAACAGAACCTTTCAGTTCCTCTAGAAGTTCCCATGTTCCCCAGGGCAGGTGGTCCTCCCCGCTCTGCAGGGAAGCAGGATTGGGACGAACTCTGCCCCTGTAGAGGAGTTTTGCTTGTCTCTGATCTTCACAAATGGCATCATGCAGTCTGCATTCATTTGTGCCTGGCAGCCTTCATTAAGCATGGTGTTCCTGAGATTCGTTTAGGCTTTTACATGTGCTAGTAGAACTGCTCATTCTTGCTATGCTAGATCATCCCATTGCGTGGATGTGCCAGAGTCGATTCCCTTTACCGATTGTGGATGCTTGGGTTGCTTTTGTGTGAGAATACTAAGCATAGTGATGCTGTATGCATCTATAGGCACATTTCTTTTGGGAACACAGCCTGTGTAAGTGGTCAGCATTGGAAAATAATAATATTTTTGAACCATGGTCTCTAGAAAAATATTCCTGCTGTGTCACTGGTGCCTTTTAAATTTCACCTCTCCAGTCAGGGAAGGGTTAAGGTCAGTCTTTGCTAACCCTGAAAAAAGTCTGTTATCTCTGTTTCCCTGAAATGGCAAGTCCCACATAGGATGCCTGCACTGCAGGCTGCAGCTGTAGTTGCTGTGTCTCAGTGCCAGCCCCAGTGCCTTTCTCTTGATGGTTCTTCGCCTCCAAGTTTGTCCCCTGTAAGACAGTGGCTGTGTTACAGCCCAGGTCCTGAGTGCCGAGAAACTCGTATCCAGCTAAAAAAAAAAGGATTTTTTAAAAAAAGATTTTTAAAAAAATTTTTGTTGCAAAGTCAGATATACAGAGAGGAGGAGAGACAAGAAGATCTTTTGTTTGATGATTCACTCCCCAAGAAACTGCAACGGCTAGTACTGTGCTGATCCAAAGCCAGGAGCCAGGAATTACCTCAGGTCTCCCACATGGGTGCAGGGTCCCAAGGCCTTGGGCCGTCCTCGACTGCTTTCCCAGGCCACAAGCAGGGAGCTGGATGGGAAGTGGGGCTGCCAGGATTAGAACTGGAGCCCATATGGAATCCTGGCACGTTCAAGGCAAGGACTTTAGCTGCTAGGCCACCGCACCAGGCCCTAGAGTTTTTTATATATATATATATATAATTGCAGTATTTGCTTCATTTATGTGCACAGTTGCATTTGGAACTTTCCATTTTTGCTTCAGGTTCATCTTTGCTAGGTTTCAGTTTGTTTGCAGTACAAGGGCACTTCAGAAAGTTCATGCAAAATAGAATTGACAGATCACTCTATTTTAGTGTCAGAAGATTGAGAGCCCACATATAATTTTGTCATAATCAACATATTCCATAAGGTTTTAGAATGCCCCTTGTGTTCATGGATTACAAAACTTAGTGCACCTAAATAAATTTCCTGTTTTCTATGACCTTGTAAAAAGCATACCCATGGGGTTTTTTATGATATGTAATATGGATGAAGGAGAGGGAAAAATAGTGATGGACAAAGGATGAGTTTTTATTGCGTTCCAGTTGATGTTTTGCTGATAAGTTACTGCAGGCTTGCGATGCTGAGTGATGTCTGGCCTGTGATGGCAAGGGCGCCCTGTTCATGAAAATGCCGGCTTCTGCCAGTGCAGCTTCTGATGATCAGAGCGACTTCAGTTCCACTGAGCAGCTAAAGCACTACCTCCCGGTGGCCTTAGACTTCTTTAGGGACATGTTGGATTTGCTGTTGCCTTGGCAGACAGGAGTTTATCATGGACCCTGATGCAGTCAGAATATATGGCTCAGGCATCTAGCCAGGGAGCAGGAATTATGGTTCAGATGGAAAAATAGCAGCAGCTGAGGTGCAGGAGGAGCCTGAGCATGTCCTGTCACCAGGTAAGACTGTACACGCATGTGCTGCTTCCTGTGGCTTCGAGTCAGGACCTGAACGAAGCAGGACTGCCTTCCCTGGGTTACTCAGAGCAGAGGGGCCACTGGATGGACACCGTATTGGAATGTCTGTTGTGTGCCTGGATAGCTCAGCTGGTGCTGTATTAGAATGCCTTATGTCATTCCCTAGGTAAATGCAGGGAAGCCATATACGGAGGAAGATGCTTGGTGGAGGTTAGCCATGCCGCAGGCGCTGTTAGATGACTGTGAGCAAGCCTAGTTCCTGGCCACGGGGGTTGTATGCTAGCCCCAGAACTCTGAGCGTTCACTTGAGTCTTATCCTCCATTCCCAGCCTGGCCAGTTCTCTCATGGACAGGTGGGCATGTGTCCCCAGGCAGGAGTTGTGAGCTCTCCTGTCACCATAGCGTGCAGCCTCCTTAGTGTCCACTGTCACCTCTTGACATCCTCATTAATACTTTGCCATAAACGTCCATTGCTTGTTTACCTGGTTGTCAGAAGTAGAAAAAATGACAGCTTTTGAATAGCACATTGCCTCCAAGCACCTAAAAGCATGTTGTGCAAAGGAGGAGCCATGTGTGTGCTGGTGGTGTCAGTAGGAAAGAATGGGACCTGCCAGCTCAGCAGGAATTGCGGAGTGAAGGAGGAGGGGCGACAGTGCCAAGCAGAGATCTGGGAGCACACTCCCCAATTTCAGTAGGGGTGCTGCATTGCTCGTTTTACACTAATGGTAGTAAGATGGTGGCATAAATGCTTAAACTCTGCAAAACAAACTTTAGCTTATGAAATGTTGCTTGCCAAAGGAACGACCAAAATGAGCTATAAGGTTTCACTCGAAATCATACGACCATACCTTTAGGTCCTGATATGCCATGTGTGAGGAAAGTGTCATATAGTAGCTGAATAGGGAAGGTCCTTTCATAGTATGTACTTTTCTTGTGCCAATTAACCAATTCTCGATTCATCCACTCAAGCACCTTGCATTTTTTTTTTCTGGAAAAAAAATCTATCTCCTTCTTATCAGTGGTTTTGCCAATACTGCATGTTTTCTTTTTGGAGAAATATTTTATCACAAGGCCTTAGCATTTCTATTTGTCCTTGCTTCTCCATGCTGGCCTCCTTGAACATGCAATATGTTCTTTTCCTGTCTTCTTCCCTTTTGAGTTCCCTCCTGTATGTCTGTCTGCCTTTGTGCACTGGCTGTTTTCTGTGTTGATAGAAGAACTGTATGTACCGGAAGAGAGCTCAGGAGGGGTGAATGAAGTTAATGGTAATTAAACTGTAATCACACGTGTATGTGTTGCACTTGAACTTAACACAGCAAAGTGAACTTCTCTTCAGGCTAGTTATACTGGCGTGTACTGCACTTATTTGGGCAGTGCTGCCATTATGCAGACTATGACAGTGTCACTGGAGAGAGGGCATTTTGTTTTCCTTTGAAATTACTTGAAAAGCCAGCTTGCGCATCTTCTAGGCAGTTACGGCCCTGGGGTTTGAGTGCCAGCTCCTGTGCTGAAGCGTTATAGCTATCATCTAGACATTTAACCTCTCCAGG